GGTTGGATGCATTGATGGCACACATATTCCCATCAATGCACCTACATGAAAATTAAAATTCAATTCTTATATTATTACATTAGTGTTGATGAAATCTTAAAAAAGTATTTTGATTACTGTAATAATTACTCTCCATAAAATGTATTGGATTATTTATTAATCATTACTTTACAAATCCCATATCAACCACAATAGGAATTTTAAGAAAGGGTGGACATAAAACTGCACTTTTAATTCGTACAAAAATCGGTATTTTATGCAATTACTGAAGTTACTCATTAAATTATTGAAGAATTAAGAACCATTCCTTACTTTACAAGTGACAAATAATAACAATACTAACATTATTTAGTAATTACTTACATCGAACACTGTATGATTAAAATGTAAACATACACATTGACTCGGGCAGCTATTTTCCCCCAAGCTAACTCTCTCTCTGCTGCAGCCGTGTTGCTTTTTTTTTTACGAAATATGGGCTCGTAGTCACTATATGCTTGTAGTAGCACATCCATTTCTGTCGGGGAAAAAACGCAGACCTATTTTGAAGAGTTTAGCAAGATACCTCTTTTATTTTGTTATTTATACTTTTTGTTTGTTTTGTCATGATTCCAGCAAAACAGTCCACACCTTAGGGAATACCCTTCTACTTCCCTCTGCTTCATTGAATAAGTCACACAGCCAGAGATAACTAGTACAAAAATGCATCTTTTATGATGTGACTGCGATGTGATGTCTTTGTCAATATATATGTTGTGCTTTGCTTTATGCATACTGTATTTTAGAGAGAAGTGAACCCAGATTCTCTCACTGAGTCAGGTCGCTTCCAAGCCACACAGTGGTGGTAGTCATTGGACAATCATTAGAATGCTGCCCCCTAGTGAACCTCATGTCACATAAGCAGAACATACTGTACAGCCAGTCTTACTGAGAGTGACCTCCCAAATGTAAAACAAATATCATTTATCAATATATATATATATATAAAAAAGCTGAACTTCAGGGTATAGACATAGATTTTAATCACAGTATCCTCTTGGCCACTAGTAAACTTTGTTTACATTGTTTATTTGGGATGGTTTGAAAGGCTCGATGTTTCTGTCCAAGCACTCTCAGTCAAGTTTACTTGGCATGGCTGCTCACAAGTGCAATGGAGTGAGGGAGGTAGGAGCTAACAGGAGAGTGCCCTGCCAGTTCTGTGGACAAGTGACGGATTGGATTTCAGTGTGGGAAAGATTATGGCAAAGTGACTCCCAAAAATCACAGCACCTATTACAGAAAACTGAGCTTCCATTTTTGTGCAAAAGCTTCTTTGATGTGGATATAATATGATAATGCTCCTGTACACAAAGCCAGGTACATAAAGAAACATAAAGAACTTTGACAGGGAAACTCAAACAAACTTTGTGTCCCGACTTTATTGAGAAGAAGATGCTCTGATGTCACTCAATATGGCAGTTTCCACAGAAATTGGTTTCAAGTGGAGTTAAAAGATTAACACTCAAGATGAAGGCTGATTATATAATAGCATTTGAAATTACTATTAAGCATAAATTCTGACTAAACGGTGTCAGAAAACCTGTAAAGACGAGTCCTGGGAAGAGCCGAAAAGTCCACAAAACACCTGCACAGTGGCACTGGCTGCTGATAACCTGGCCTCAGGGACAAACTTACAGAGTGAGCTGCAGGAGGCTATTGAACCAGTTGTCTCTTTCCAGCCAGAATTCCCACAAGAACCGCAAGAAGGGGAACAGGAAACACAGGCCACTGAAATAGCACCGATCTTAGATGACCTGGCTTCAGAAATGCCCTTACAGAATGAGCTGCAGGAGACTATTGAACATTATGTTTTATAGCATCTTTACTTGTCCATTTTGTGTTTTATAGCATCTTTACTTGTCCATTGTTTATCCTTCATTACGCTGTTCTTCTTCTTCTTCTTTCAGCTGT